CTTGTTCTATTTAAAATAAGATGCTTCTGAATGAAATCAAGTCATATTTGGGCAGATATCCCCTTTGAATGACAGCATTTGGGCTTTAATACATTTTTTGCAAGTCAAAATGGCTATTTTGTGTTGTAATGGTCCTTTAAAAGAGTTCCAAGCTGTTTTGTGAGCTCAGATCTTTAAATCATGCATCTCCTGAAGGAAATCTAGTCATATTTAGGTAGAAATAACCTTTGAGTGACTATACTGTGCCTTCAATCAATTTTTGACAGGTGAAAACCGATTGAAAACTGCAAAACAAATAGAAACATGGGAAACTCGTGCTATATACGGCCAGATCAGATAAGAAACAATGCAGAGTCACGAGGATCGTTGCAAAAGTTATCATATCTTTATCGAAAACCCTCCAGTGAATCATATTTATTGTAGTGTAGTCTCCAATGTCAGGGCTACACAAAGTCATCAGACCGAGTATAGAAACATGTCTGTCACGTAACTGCCGTTATGTGACAAACGTTAAGCTTTCGAATCTTTAATTAGGCCTATATTATAATTTAATAAGGCCTATATTATAATGCAACTGTGTGTATCTGCATGTCATGACCGTTTAATCCAGAGAAAAGCAAGTTTACGGTATCGCTCAGCAGCTGCGGTGCGCGCTCCCGCGAGCTTAATCAGATTCTCGCAAACATTCACTTTTTCGCACAACACCGGGACAGACAAGTTGGTAGCATTTGAAAACGTATCATGACACTGATTGGAAGCTGCTAACAAGAAAAAAATTAAACAAGTATCTTGATATATAAATGTGCAGAAAGTGGTTCAGCAAAATTGGCAAAAACTGGATAAATAACTCATCAGTGACAAAAGGGCCTTGTAGATTTACTGTTTTTACATTCAAAGTGTTTGAAGTGAGTATGAGTCTCAATTGAAACTTTATTATGAATGTTTAAAGTTGCAGCTTGTATTGTGAATCATTAGAATATTAATCGTGTATAACAATAGAAATAATCTAGAAATTGTAGTGAGTAAAGATATCTGCATGTTATCCAATCTTTTGACAAAATGACTGTGTGAAATCATTTTAGCTTTTACAGTCATGTGGTTATCAGCCTTAGATGTTTGATTTTTACTCAAGCACAGTAAACTTTAAAAGTTCATAGACAACGAGATATTTGAGCTCAAAGCATTTCTATTTCTACATTTTTTACAAAACAAAAGTCATTTTCATCCTTTATTGCTGCCGTCATTATTGTTTGATGATTGCTTAGCAGTCTGAGATTTTTCAAATGTAAAGTGCATTACAAATAAAACTTATCATCATCATTTTTAGTAGTAGAAATAGTAACTCCATTCTCTAACTAAAAATGTGTGTCACATGTCATTTCAACATTGCATATCAATGCCTATAGTTTCATTTCCAATTATTAGTCTCCTCATTTATTCATACGCTATTATCTTCTCCTCTCAGGTCCATTTGTGGGCTGCATCTAACTCCGGTGAAAGCACGATGCTCTGACTCCTGAGGAGCATTCAGGCCATTATGAATGAGAGGTAGACCCGGCCACTTTAATGGACCTGAGACGCTGCTGCAGCAAAAGGCTACAAACGTTATTTTACTTATTCACAGTCGTCTGGAACACCAAAAACTAACCCCTTAACAGTTGTGTCTAACTTATAAGTGAGCAATATGACATGAACAGTGGATCTATTTAAGTTGGATGCTCTTTTTGCGCAAAGATACTGCGGCATTTCCTTTAAACTCGGTGAGTCGAAGTGCATGGCGGTATCCCTCCGCCAACAGAGGAAATGCTCCTAGACCAATCACATCTGTGTTTACACCATCACCTGTCAAACACACACCCTCTGCTAAATTTCTCTCTGAAAGGTAGGTTTTTTTGGATTTATTTTGCCCACGCTTTTCATTGAGATGCGAGCACAGACAATTAAGTCTTAGCCCGGCTGCGGGAGCCGTTAAACCGGGTCGGTTAGGGAGGAAAGGGAGCCGGGGACAGCGAGGTTAGCGCCCCCGGAGCTAGCGCGTTGGAAGCGGGTTATCCGTCCGCCGGGCTTGTTTTTTAGCCGATTATCGGAAAGTCCTTGCGCCTAATCATCTCTCGCTGAGGTCGGGCGCGCGGCGGCGGTGCGTTAGCTTCGAGATTCCGGCCAATTGATGCTGGAAATCGCCGGGGAGCGTCGGCGGACGTCGGCAGAGGTTAACGCAGCCGTGCGGATAACGGGACTAGCTTTGTACGCCGAGCATCCTCCCGCTAGCCGCCGAGGCTCCAGGCTGATGGAGCGGGGATGCGTTTAGCGGATCCGTTAGCATGGTTTCACGCCCGGTTCCGTATTAGAGCCCGTACTGGGGATGAATTTACAGAGAATAAGTAACACAGTGAAACTGCTTGTGAAAGCCAAATCCAATATGATCCCATTAGTAGATATAGATGCCTTCCAATGTATTTAGAATTGTAGTTAAAGGCTGTGACCCACAAAGGAAAACGTAGCTTCTTAGCACCATTACAAACGTTAGAGATGGATTAGGATGACAGATACAATGGCAGTGATCATTTCTCTGCAAAAAACAATATAATACATCTTAGTACATGTTGAATTATCGTTATAAGATGGTACCAATGTTATTATACTATATATAAATGTATACTTAACAAAGCTAGTTAGTCAACTAAGTGAATTGCATCTTAATTTTGTCAATTTTTAAAGTTTCAGTCATGCAAAAGGATTTTGGGTATCTATTGGGCTGTTTATTTGTATGCCTTTTGTAATAATGTTATATACAATTTGCAAGTTAACTGTGTCCTGTTAGCAGCCAGAGGTCAGATATTCGTGGCTTTGGGGCAGACGTTTTCCTAAATTGCTGGTCCTGTTGGGCCGTCAGTCTATGTAACGTTTAGTGTCCATCCAAAGCAGTCCAAAGAAGAGGAAGCTGACATTAGGGCCATGAGGGGGCTGATGCTGCCTGTTCTGATGAAGAGTGGCCCATGCCTACGCATGCTGCAGGGAAAACCCTTAAACTGGACACGGGCTCTCTTCAGAACGGCGCGATGGAGCATCTGAAGAACCCTGATGAATCACGTTTTCCTTTCAGCACGTGGACAGCCGAGGCCGTGCGTGTATTAGTGCAAAGAGGTGGCGGCAGAATGCACAGTGAGAGGAGGAAGGCAGGCTTGGGTAGTTGGTCTGATGCTCGGGAGATTTGCATGCTCTGACTTTCAAAGTCCTCTTTTTTTTTCCTGGACATATATATACCCCTTTGTGGCCACAGATTTTTTTTTTTGATGACAGAGTAGACTCTCAGAAGGATACATTTCCCCTGCAAACAGCAGAAATAGTTCAGGAGCCGTCTGAGACACATGCTCTAGTCTTTCCCCGGGCCATTTGAATGCACTTCCAGTACAGCTGTGCTTTTGTTTGCCGCTCTCAAACCCTTTGATGAAGCTCATCCCAAATGAGCTCTGAGCAGTGGCTTATCTTTCCGTAAGATTCAGGCCATCCTCGGCCTGATACGAATGGCTCCTCGGTTCGTCTCCGTCTCCACTTCCTGACATCGGAGCGGCTGCTGTCCTGAAACTCTGCCCTCCAGCACTGCATGCAACTTTATCCACGCGGTTGATGCAGATGCTGCCGTTGGGTGTGTGTCATTAAGTCGAGCCGTCACTTGAGAGGAGGCTAAAGCTCCGTCAGGGCAGAGTGGAACCCACAGAAAACGATCCCCTGCCTAGGAAGTCACCCTAGACCGATGTGCGGCGGAGGCCGTCCTCCCTGCACAGACGTTAGCGGGTTTAACCTTTAAAGCTGCCCCTGACCATCCTGTGTCTTGTGAGTATTTGTGAAGCTCACGCTCATATCAGCCCTCTGACTGGCTGTAGTCTCCGGTTTTTCTTTTCTATTCTTGGGCAGCTGGTAAGTCACTTTCTGAATTAAAAAGAGACAAAAAGGTTTTAAGACGCCATTAGCCAACAGTTCAGGAGGCTTTCTAGAAAGATCACCCTTTGTGTTACTGAACTTCGCATTGTTTCAGAGCTCTGCACATTGACAATTGTTATTTTTGTGTTTCTTAACACAATTTTATTCCACAACTTTCAAACAAAGATTTACTGGTGAGTCAGGCATATTTGGGCTTCTGGCAGGCACTGTGGGGGGAAAAGAAGAGTTTTTTTTGTTGTTGCAGTGCAGTACTTTTTCTATCAAACCCCCCCCCCCCCCCCCCCTTAAATATCCTGGACGGCTGAATTTGTGTACTTGCAGAGGAGGGGAGGATGTCAGAGAGCTGGTGAGGAAGGAGGGTGGGAGACTGGGAGTGAATCACCCCCAGACGGTGTGAGGTGCAGTGCAGTGTGGGTGTTCGCAGTATCAGGCCAGCCTCCGAGCTGAAGAGCCACGTCTTGATTTACCGAGTTGACTCTCTGTTTGTTTTTCCTCTCCGGCACGCAGGAGCTGAAACACACACTCACACTGACGCGCCTACGGTAGCCGCTAACTGGACGGACTCTCTGGCAATCGACCTTTTGCAGGTAAGCCCAAGCTGCTGCGCTGCTTCGGTTTCAGGCGGACAGAAGCACCTCTGCTCAGTCCAGCCGCTGCCCCCCCCCCCCTCTGAACGAACGACTTCCCTCACGCGGCTTTAGCTGCGTCTCGTTTTGAGTGCAAGGCTCGTTTTCTGGGGCTTTGAGTGAGGGCTTAGCCGCATGAAATCATATTCCGCTTCTGATTTGAATGCTCACCGAGAGCTCACAGGAAGATTTCAGGGGGACTGAGTTTCTGCTGGCACATTATCCAGAGGCCAGGTAATTATAGAAAGTTGATGCTGCGCTCAGCTCGCTTGTCACAGAAATAAATGTGCATAACTGGTTGGTTTTTCAAGTAAGTAGTAAGAAATCTACCCATCGACTGGAAATGTGAAACCTTTTTTTAATGACTTCACCATCCACTAATGTGTCCCCCCTGTAACCAGAGGGCGTGCGTGAGCACCAACCAGCGGAGCACTTAAAGACCCGCAGGCTCGGGTTTTTTGAGGTTCCACCGCTCTGACTCCTCGTGGGAAACCGGTGTGACCTACGGCGATAACGCGAACAGCGGTGCTGTGTCACGAGAACGTCAGCAGCGGTTGTTTTTAGCCCCCGCTGCACACTTGTGATAACCTTGTCTTTGTGGTGCGGGGCTTTTTTTTTTCTTTTCTTAGGCCTGTAATGTGTTAATTGGCAGCATCTCAGGTGCAGAGCACAGCCCTGGGGGGTAAAAAAAGGGGCTTCTGCTGTCCCAGCGGTCAGGCGAATACGACCTTCTTATAAAAGGCCATTTTGTGCTTCTGGCTTTATTCGGTTGATACTTCCTGGAATTTCATGACACGCATCAGCTAATTTCCCCATCTGTAAGATGAAGGTTTTTGGTTCTTACTGTTCTTACTGAGCTCATTCCCACATGTGTGTTTCAGTGGAAACGTGGAATAAGTCTTGAACCATGAGCTCAGTGGCAGTGTTGACCCCGGAGAGCTTTGCAGAGCATCGCAGTGGTCTTAAGGACCAGGAGATTACAGGTAAAACCCCTCTGACCTCTCTGGATATGTGTGCTTATGCTACCTCTGTTCCCTCCTCACCTCTGCGACTAAATGTTTCACACCAGAGGCAGAATCTGACTTTAATACACGCTCATCTGGTTCTACTGTTGATGATCCCCCCCTCCCCCTGCCGCCTCTGTTTATTTTGTTCTTGCTACCGTCTGTATCGTGGCCTCACCGGGCCAGGCTGCGTCCCGGAGGATGAGGCCTACATCCCCACTTATCTGGAGGCCTTCCCTCCGCTGCCGGAGAAGGGGGCACCTGGGGAAAAGACCGGGGAGCCAGCTTCGGCTTGGGGGAGTAAGATCAGGCCCATCAAAGCCTCCGTTATCACCCAGGTCAGACGACCGCTGTGGAATAAACACAAAGGCGTACCGTGCTATAAAAAGAAAGAATATCATGTGTTTTCTTTTTTGTTTGTCGCCCCTGCTCACCTGGAACTCGGACCTCCTCCCTCCAGGTGTTCCATGTGCCCCTGGAGGAGCGCCGCTACAAGGACAACAGCCAGTTTGGGGAGGGAGAGGAGGCCAAAGTGTGCCTTGACATCATGCAGCGAACGGGGGCGCACATCGAGCTGTCCCTGGCTAAGGACCAGGGCTTATCCATCATGGTTACCGGCAAACTGGACTCTGTCATGAAGGCTCGCAAGGAAATCGTAGCTCGCCTGCAGACACAGGTCATTGCTCCCTCTACTTCCTATAGATCTCATTATTTATTATAGAGGTTTTTTTTTTTACACTCACTGAACCAAAATAGATCCATAAAGTGTTAGGCAGCCCCTGAACTTTGTTACATTATGAATCAGATGCACAATTATAGGTTTTTATATCCTTCTGAGTCCATTTATTGTAAGACATTTTTTTCTACTATGATCCAAAGATCTGCTTTTATTTGCCTTTTCTTGCGTTTACATTTTACTCAACATCTTTTAGGCAACCGCAGTCAACCGTTTTAATTTAAGCCTGAAAAAACCCCAACTTGAATGCCAAAGTCTGTTCGAGCTTCATCGAACATTGATGGAAAAAGCAGATTGCAGCGTGCAGTCCTCGGCTGCAGCTCAGGCCGGAGACATTAGCTGCAGGCAGGGCGCCTGAGGACACAAAAACTGAAAAATGGCCGTCAGCTCCCGGGAGTGGCCTTTCAAGGCTTCAGCAGCAAACATGCTGATCTCCGCTTTAGCTGCTGCTCTGAAGTTCACCTGTTTAGCTGAGCTGCACTTATTCACACAGGAGAGCAGAAAAACATTTTGCACGGTCAAACAAATGTTTTTTTTTTTTGTATTTGACCAGCACAGAACCTGCATTTTCACTGATTTGTTTATGCCGTTCTCATCGTCCCACCTTAACTGTGACATGTTATTCGACATTCCTCTGTCCTCTGCTCCCCTCAGGCGTCGGCCACCGTCGCCATCCCCAAGGAGCACCACCGCTTCGTCATCGGGAAGAACGGCGAGAAGCTGCAGGAGCTGGAGCTGAAAACCGCCACCAAGATCGCCATCCCCCGCCCCGACGACCCCAGCGCCAACATCCGCATCACCGGCACCAAAGAGGGCATCGAGAAGGCTCGCCACGAAATCCTCCTGATCTCAGCCGAGCAGGTCGGAGCCACAATGACCACACGCTCTCTCGGGACATCTGCGGTTAAAATGAGCAAAGCCACTCAAAAAGAAGCCGTTTCACACTCAGCTAATTAGCGATAATTTAGTTTCACTAAAACATCCGTCTGAGGGATTATTTGCTCCTTAATTTACTGCGTTCTGCCCGCCGCCGGCGGGCCGTGTCTCAGCGGTTCAGCAGATTCAATTACTGTATACGGATGAAGCAGCGTGTTGAGAATCCTGTCGTTACATTGCAGCTGTTTCCTCGTAATGAGCCGCGACAGGCAGCAATTCTTATCTTTGTGCCGTTCATCTTGTTTTCTTATGAAATTTTAAAGAAAAGATAATTATGCCGGGTTGATTAACAGCAATGTCGATGAATTCGGAAGTTCCTTCTGAAATTGGAATAGTTTTGAACTGAATCTTTGAGCTGTGATTATTGCTGACTCGGTAAAAGCTGAAGTCATTAATGGGATTTATTGAGTAATTAACTGAATGTGAGTCTACATGCAAACAATTTACTCGCGACATATGCGAAACATTCATATTAGTTTTTATGTACAACAGTACTCAAACCCACCGCTGACTTATTTTGCTTTGCTCTGATCCCCTCCTGCAGGACAAGCGTGCGGTGGAGCGCCTGTCCCTGGAGAAGGCCTTCCACCCCTTCATCGCCGGTGCCCACAACAGGCTGGTGCAGGAGCTGAGCCAGGAGACGGGCGCCCGCATCAGCATCCCCCCTCCCAGCCTGCCCAAGGACGAGATCGTCATCACGGGGGAGAAGGAGGCCGTGGCCCTGGCGGTCAACCGCATCCGCGCCATGTACGAGGACAAGGTGAGCGTTAAAATTCAGTTTTCAACCATCCGCCAGTCTGTCAACAGGCTGTTGTGTTCGCTTTTTGTAGTGAAATCAGTTCATTTTTTAAAAAAAAGAATCGACTCATTGGGGTAAAGTCTTATGCTTGTTCTTTTTTCCCCCCGCAATCTCTTTAAGCCCAACTGTGGTAATGGTGTTTATTTTTTGGGGTGTTTGGAGGATTTGTCATTGCTTTCAGCTATCTTTCCTCTATTTCCTACCGCTCATTACTGCTCATTTCTCTGATAAGTTTAAAAGAAACCGATACAGAGACGGATGGGTGAAACATAGAGAGGAAGTGGGTGTTAGTACGTGTGCACTGAATGAGCCCTTTTGATAGGAAAGATGGAGATGATGCGGAGAGAAAATTGGATTTCACCAGAGAACAACAGGATGAGAATACTAATGTAATTTGGTGCATAAATATGAGATGCAAACCCCAATATGTCACCACTTGTCTTTTCTTTTAGCCCCAACCAGTTACTCACCTCTTGCCCCCCCAAGAGTTTCCTTTTTCTTTGTATCGCCTGGCCCCTCTGTTTGTGCCAACCTCTTTCTACCTCTTTCCTGTTTTCCGTCTTTTGTCTCTCTTTCTGTCTCCTCTTGTTTTCCCATCCACCCCTCGCTGGGTTTCTCAGTTGTATTCTTGTCCATGTCCAACCTGCAGAAGAGAAAGACAACGACCATTTCGGTGGAGGTGAAGAAGTCTCAGCATAAGTACATTATAGGTCCAAAGGGCAACACTTTGCAGGAGATCCTGGAGGCCACCGGGGTGTCGGTGGAGATGCCTCCACTGGACTCCAGCTCAGAAACGATCATCCTGAGAGGGGAGCCGGACAAACTGGGTCCTGCACTCACCCAAGTTTACGCCAAGGTGGGTGGGAGGAGGATGTTTGGAGATATTTCTTTGCCCTTTTTAAGTCATAGAAACAACAGATATTGAGAAAACAAAGAGCTCCACCAAACGCAGACAAACTCCTTTATTTTGGTTTGGATGCTTTTCAGACGTGCTACTGAGCTCTCGTCTGTCCGGTCACTTAGTTATTTTGATTAGCTACTGATGTTGAGTGAGTAACGAGGCAGGTTAGATTTGTGTGGGGGCATTAATGGAAGGCCTTCTGTCAAATTTGTAGGCCAAGAGTGTGATGGTGGTGGAGGTGAGCGCTCCGGCCTGGTTGCACCGCTTCATCATCGGCAAGAAGGGACAAAACATCGGGCGGATCACACAGCAGCTGCCACGGGTAAGAGGAGACGATGGCCAAAGGCCAGAGATCGCACGAGAGTCCGACGTCCCACTCCTTACGGGTGACGGAGGACATTTAACAGGCTGAACTTTGGGGTCTGGGTGGTCAGTTGAAACTAAAAGCACGACATTTACTGAGCTGCGTTTGACTAATCGGGAGTCAGGAGGCCCTTTAACCGGCTGGAATCGGCTCATGTGTGCAGGTTCACATAGAGTTTACGGACGGAGAGGAGCGCATCAGTCTTGAGGGGCCAACGGAGGAGGTGGAGCAGGCTCAGGCCCAGATCCAAGAGATCATCAAGGACCTGGTCAGTCGCCTTCACATAAAAAAAAAAAGAATCCAATCCTCTCATGGGTTTTCATACAACTATTAACAGAACGGTATTTAAAGGCAGGTGATTATCACACTGCTGAGTTCCCATTTTGATTTGATTCTGTGCTGAATCCTTTAAAACTGTGAGCGAAATCTTTAATCTCTCTTTGTGTTCAGCTGGTGAGGATGGACTACACCGAGGTCATCATAGAGCAGCGCTTCCACAGACACCTCATTGGAAAGAACGGCGCCAACAGTGAGTAGATTTGTGCTGACGTGGCTGCGACAGCTCTGCCAACTGTGTCGTTTCTATTTGGGTGAATTATGATTGTAAGAGCAGTGGAACAGCTTTTTATATTTAACGGGGTATTTCCTACCATGAAATCGCTTAGTAAGCAATCTTTTCACTCCTCCTCCACCTCATCCTTTCCTCTGCGCTGTCCGCCTCTGCACCGTTTAGTCAACCGGATCAAGGAGCAGTACAAAGTGTCGGTGAGGATCCCGCAGGACTCGGACAGAAGCGGGCTGGTCCGCATCGAGGGAGACCCCAAAGGGGTGCAGCTGGCCCGCAGAGAGCTCATCGAGATGGTTCAGAGAATGGTGAGCTTAGGCGGATCCATCCATTCACTGGTCCGCCGCTGAGGCCCTTTGTACCTCGTGAGTTGTACGTTTTTCCCCTTTCCAGGAAAACGAGCGCACCAAAGACCTGATCGTAGAGCAAAAGTTCCACCGGACAATCATTGGGCAAAAGGGAGAAAAGATCAAGGAAGTTCGGGACAAATTCCCAGAGGTGAGACCTCTCTCTCCGACCGGGAAGGTTTGTCATTATTGTGATTTACTTTCACTTTGGCCCTGGTCTTATGCCCACCTCTCTTTGGCTCGTAGGTCATCATCAATTTCCCCGACCCGGCGCAGAAATCGGATATCGTCCAGCTGAGAGGGCCAAAGAACGAGGTGGAGAAATGTGCCAAGTTCCTGCAGAAAATCATCGCGGACCTGGTACCAGCCACCTCTGACTCTCTTTGTGTGGTTTGAAGAGTCTCTATCCGTCTGTGCTCGGCCTCATTGCAACTTATCTCCCTTTACAGATTGAGAACAGCTTCTCGCTGTCCGTTCCCATCTTCAAGCAGTTCCACAAGAACATAATCGGAAAGGGCGGCGCGAACATCAAAAAAGTGAGTCCAGATACGCCGGTTTGCTTTAGTCTAACGTTAATCTGAAAACGAAACCTAAAAGCGGTTGATCGTCTCACCAGATCCGCGAGGAGACCAACACCAAGATCGACCTGCCGACGGAGAACAGTAACTCCGAGATGATCGTCATCACAGGAAAGAAAAGCAACTGCGAGGCTGCCAGAGATCGAATCCTCTCCATCCAGAGAGAACTGGTGAGCCAGAGGGCGCGACTGGTGGGGGTTTGAAGCAGTAAATGCAGGTTTAGGTTTGAAAAAAAAAACTTTTGGGCTCCTGTTAAAGGCTTTGATTAATATTTTAGCAAAAATCGGCAACAAAAAAGGTAAAAAGCTGTTACTTTTTACTCTACATCTTCTTTAAATGTCCAGGAGATGGTTTCAGATGCACAGAAAGCATCATTCTGTTTGTCTCCATCTTCTCAGGCCAACATTAAGGAGACAGAAGTAACAATCCCAGCCAGGCTGCACAACTCTCTGATTGGCTCCAAAGGCTGCCTCGTGCGCTCCATCATGGAGGACTGCGGCGGCGTCCACATCCATTTCCCCTCGGAGGGCTCCGGTTCAGACAAGGTCACCATCAGGGGGCCCGTCGGCGAGGTGGAGAAAGCCAAGAAGCAGCTTCTGCAGCTGGCCGAAGAAAAGGTGGGCGGGGCCTAACTGCTCCGAGGCGTTTGGGTGGTTTGTAAATAAAGAGGCGCCTCGCCGACGCTTCACTTCCTCTCCGCGCTCTGTTTTCCCCTCCCGCCGTTCCAGCAAGTCAACAACTTCACAGCCGAGCTGCAGGCCAAGCCCGAGTACCACAAGTTCCTGATTGGGCGCGGCGGGGCCAACATCCGCCGAGTGAGGGACCGGACGGGGGCCCGCATCATCTTCCCGTCGCCCGACGACACCGAGCAGGAGCTGATCACCATCGTGGGGAAGGAGGAAGCTGTGCGCCAGGCCCAGAAAGAACTGGAGAGCCTGGTCAAAAATCTGGTAACCACAAACGCACCACATTTGCTTTTCTCACTTTTCTCACATTTTTGGAGAACTCTGTTTGGGCCCTGAATGGATGCTCTTTGTTGCATCTCTTCCAGGACGACGTGGTGGAGGACAATATGGAGGTGGAGGTTCGCCACCACCGCCACTTCGTGTGCCGGAGGGGGCAGGTGCTGCGCGAGCTGGCGGAAGAGTACGGGGGCGTGGCCGTGAGCTTCCCCCGCACCGGCGCCAACAGCCAGAGGGTCACTCTCAAGGGGGCCAAGGAGTGCGTGGAGGCGGCAAAAAAGCGCATTCAGGAGATTATCGAAGACCTGGTGCGACCCTGAAAGAGATTTAAATTTTTTTTCTTAACGCGTGAGAGGCTGCTGACTCTAAAACCGGCAGCTGGAGACATTCAGCGTGTGTTTTTTTAAGGGCTTTAGATGGAAAAACAAACAGCTGCTGTTGGAACTAAATGTTATTTTTCTGCTCTACACTCAAACGCGAAGCTAAAAATATTCCTAAGCAGGATCTGTTATGCTTCCACCCTCAGGAGTCCCAGGTGAGCGTTGAGGTTGCCATCCCCCAGCGCTACCACCGCGCCATCATGGGGCCTAAAGGCTGCCGCATCCAGCACATCACCAGGGAGCACGAGGTCCAGATCAAGTTCCCCGAGAGAGACGACAGCGCCGCAGGTCAGAGGCAAAACAAGGGCAGCGGCAGCTTATTTTTCCGCGGTTACCAGCTCAGATTAGATCCCGCCGACTCCCCGTCGGCGTCCCGCTGGCCGACAGCTGGGGTGTCACGCACTTATTTTTAGAACAACACCACGCCAATTTATCTTGCTCATCTTTTTTTTTTCTGCTTCAAACCTTCAGGGCAGGAGGCCGCTCCGCAGGAGAACGGCGACGTCAGTCCGGAGGCGGAGTTCGTCCCCCGCAAGTGTGACATCATCGCCATCTCTGGACGGGCGGAGAAGTGTGAACAGGCTAAAGCGGCTCTGCTGGTTGGTGGAATCTTACACGTTTTCGTACCTATTGGCGCCTCTGTGTGCACGCCTGCTGGTGTCAGTCTCCTGTCACCTCTCATCTTCTCTCTTGTCTCATCATCCCGCAAGGCGCTGGTGCCCATAACGGAGGATGTGGAAGTATCTTATGAGCTGCATCGCTACATCATCGGCCAGAAGGGCAGTGGGATCAGGAAGATGATGGAAGAATACGAGGTTCGTGTCACCCCTGCTCGCCACGTTTGGGCTGGTTCTTACGAGGAAAACGGGAAATAAAATCTGACTGTCTGGGTTGGCCTGTGCAGGTGAACATCTGGGTGCCCCAGCCTGAGAAACAGCTGGACGTGATCAAGGTGACGGGACTGGCTGCCAACGTGGAGCGAGCCAAGCTGGGTCTGCTGGAGCGGGTCAAAGAACTCCAGGCCGAGCAGGAAGAAAGGGTACGAACACCAGCCTCCTCATCCAACTCGGAAAAGTTGATAAAAGAGACCCTCTGAATAGAAGGAAACAGGCCAGAGTAGCACAGCTCTGTTATCGATGTAAAAATGATCGGCCTCTCTTCTCAGGCCCTGCGCAGTTTTAAGGTAACCATGTCGGTGGATCCCAAGTTTCATCCCAAGATTATCGGCCGCAAAGGAGCGGTCATCTCTCAGATCAGGAAAGACCACGACGTCAGCATCCAGTTCCCCGACAAAGGAGACGAGCAGCAGGTGCGTGTCCGCTTCACTCCCGGCTCGATATCCTCTCACACGGCGGATAGTAGAGCTGACTCTGCCCCCCCCCCGGCAGGACCTGATCGTGATCTCCGGTTACGAGCGGAACGTGGAGGAGGCGCGGCAGGCCATCCAGCAGCTGGTGGCGGAGCTGCAGGAGATGGTGAGCCACGACGTGCAGCTGGACCCCCGCACCCACGCCCGCATCATCGGCGCCCGGGGCAAAGCCATCCGCAAGCTGATGGAGGAGTTCAAGGTAAGACGAGGGTTTTTTTTTTTTTTCTCTCGTTTAAGCGGTGGAGCAAACCCATTCGCTCACTGTGTAACTCTCCACGCGTCACCCAGGTGGATATCCGGTTCCCCCAGCCGGGCTCGGACGAGCCGGCCAAGGTGACGGTGATGGGCCTCCCCGAGACCGTGGACGCCGCCATCGACCACCTGCTCAACCTGGAGGAGGAATATGTGAGTCCTCAGGGGTGGAAGCCAGCCATGTTTGAAGTTAAAGCGTGCTCGTTTTGGATCCTGCAGAGATAAAAACATGTTATTACAGAATTTTTTTAGATTTGGTACATTGGGAGGGATTTTTTCATTGCTTGAATAAGATCACGATAATTAAGGTTTTACAACATCCTAAGTTGTCGCTGTTTAGTTTCTTGCTTTACTATCCTTATGCATACGTCCCTGATAACATTGGAAATGATTATACAGATTTTTTTCTGAGCATCTCCGCAACAGATTTCAAAGCTCTAAGTCTGACTTGAGCTTTGGAATGTATGTAACGTAAAACGAATGTGATTGTATACACAGTCCAGTCTGTTTTTAAAGGCTTTGAACGTTAACGAACGGATGAGCAGAGCTGTCCAGCTGTGACTTTGTGTCCGGAGCCTTTAAACATCCAAAGGTTTTCTCTCTCATCCTCTGTGGCGTGGGGCCCCGGCAGCAGCTGTCCTCGGCTGATTGCTTGTTTTCCTGTTTCTGTGTCCGGATTTGCCTTTTTTACAGCCCCGCATGATTCACCATACTAAGCAGTGGTTTATATTCCAACTATGTCCTTTCTCTCAACACCGGGGGGTCATTTGCTCTGAACCGAGCGAGCCGATCGCCTCGTATTTTCCTAATGCAGCGCTTTTTGTTCTGCTCACGATCTCAGAAGGAGAGCTGCAAGTAAAAGCTGATTTTCTTTTTGGGTGTTTCATTTGGTGATTATGTGTGTCTCCTTTATCACGTCTTTTGCAGACATTTTCTTTACATGCATATGACAAGGGTGGAAAGTTGGGGTTAATATCAGGCTTTTGGACTTAAATAGACACATTTAAGTGCATTTGTAGTTTATTATTTATTATTAGATATTTACACAAATACATGGATAAAATCCACCTCAGTTTTTCAGAGTTTTGGGTCATCTTCTGTCCTGTGGGATGGGATTGGATGCTTTCGGCTCGATCTGAGCAGACAGCGTGTCCCTTTTAAACCTCGGCATTGATCTGGCAGCTCGCCTCCTGTTACATCACCATTAATCACTGACCCATTAACGGCCAACGCCCGTGTCATCACACGGCCTCGGCGCGCTCTACAAACAGCGACGTCTAATCCCCAGCCTCTCCGTCCCCGACTTTCTCCGCCCGCCGCGCCGTGGTTTTTTTTTCCCGGTTTTCAGGACAGACTCCGATGGCGTTATCTGCCTGGCTGAGATTGCGGGGCTCTGAAGAGTCACGCCGGTGACTCACCGCCGAGCGGGAAACCTGCCCTTTACGCGCCTCCCGTGTCTCCGTCAGATGCTCAACGTGCAGGAGACGGAGACCTTGGCCGCCTACATGAAGCCTCCGTCTCGCTACGGAGGGGGAGGCGGAGCGGGAGGGCCGGACGACAGCAGCGGGGGGCCGGCCAAAGGATTCGTGGTGCGGGACGCCCCCTGGAACGCCGGAGGGAACAAGGTGGGACATGCTTTATTCGTTTAAACAGCCATTTGGAAATGTAAAAAATAAATAAAACTAAGGATGGCATGTAATCCAGATTGTGCACAGAGGAAGAGAAGCCCATTGGCTGCCTGTGTTCCTTTGTTCCAGGCTCCCGACATGAGCAGCGCCGAGGATTTCCCCACATTCGGGTCGGGGGTGGCCCCAAAGCCCACCTCAGCCTGGGGTCCCAAGAAGTTCTGAAGCCGCTCCAGTGGAAGAAAAAACAAAGGAAAAACTTCTGTAAAGTAGACGAGAGACTACAGAGATCTCACCTCGCTGCTCGCCTTCCTCCTCTTCGTCTCTGTAGTGTCCCTTTTGTGTCTCTCCTCCCGTGCTGTTCTCCCACAAACCAGCCGCCGTGAATTCTGGGAGAACTCCCCCTTCTCTTTTCTTTAGTTTTTTTTTTTAAATCTGTCTCTCTGATCGTAGTCCCCCGCCCCCCTCCTTCCCTCCCCTTCTGCCTCCTCCTCCCTCCGCAGGGAAGGGGAAGATAAAAAGAACGTGGAGTTCATCGTAGTTTTGCCGTTCCTGCTCTGCCTCCGCAAGTCTCGCTGAAACATTTAAAAAACTGTTAACCCTCCTCCCTCCCCCCCACCCCTTGGAGACTGCCAAACTGTCCCCCTCAAATACGGTCGCCTCAGAGAATCAGTGCAGGGGAGCCGGAGAGCATCGGGGAGGTGTCCTCAGACACCTGGAGAAGGTGGGAGGGGGTGCCTATCTAGTTAAAGCAGCTAAACACGATGGATTTTTAAGCTCAAAAAGGAAAGGAGAGTCTGTTTTATAATGCAAGAAAGGTTTGTAACTTAAAAAAAAAAGATCTTTCATGGTTCTTTTACTGTGGTTTTTACAATGGTTCCTCATCGGCTCACCTTTCCAGTCACCTGTGGTGCAGGAAGTCAGGCGCTGAGCTGCGTTTGAGCGTTCTGGTGGGCTCAGGAGGTTTTTCCACCCACTAGTGTTTTATAGGTCCCTTTTGTTAATTTATTTTGAAGCTAGGAAGAAAACCCTGCCGTAGTCGACTCTGTTCTTAACTCATAATGACTTGAAAGATGTGGAAGTCCTGTACCGAAGGTCGTTTTGTTTATTTATTTTAAAAAGGAGCCATTTGATTTGAACTACTGTGATCATCTGTTTTTATAAAAGCACTCACTGTAGCTTGCAACCTTACGTTTGGGGGTGAATGTTGTGCGCCGGGTTTGAGAACATGTTAACAGTTGTATTGTCTAAGTGTACAAAGAACTTTTCGCTATTTTTTTAAACTGTGTGGGACTTCTTTTTTTTTGTTGTTGGTTTCTGACATATTTGAAAGGTGTGTGTGTGTGCGTGCGTGCCTGTGTGCGGAAGTTAAAATGTATATTTGAATGAAGCTGAACCAAACTTGTACATCACCTTTGTCCGTTTGTCTCTCTTCCTTAGGCTGTACTCAGAGCTCATTTAGAGGCTTTTTAGCCTCCTCGGCTCGTCACTCAAACATGCTGCTTAACATCCAATCTTCCCTCCCAATAAAAAAAGGCTGAAGCCATACCTTAGTTCCCCCATACAAGTGCTTCATATTTCTAATATTTTGTAGCAAAAATCTTGGTGACCCCTTATTCCTCTATCTGGTTCTGGGACTTAACATGTGTCTTGTTGCTAGATAATGCGATTGGCTCAGACTGGAATAATTTAAACTACACCTGCTTTGTACCAGAAGATGTAACATTTGAGAAAGTACACCTGGGAGCTCCCCCAGTGGTGTTTGAGGCAAAGATGTGTTTCTCAGCTTTACCTGAGAACCTGAAAGGGAAGTAAGAATAAAGATAACAAAACCAAAAGTGGTTAATTTAGCTTAATAACAAATTTTTAATATCTCTATTAATTAAAATCACTGTTATGAAGAAGCAGTGGTTCTTTCCTATCAAGAGCATCAGTATTTGCTTTTGTACTGTCCCAGTTTTTTCTCAGAATTCAAATTTCAAGACTTATAAGTGGATGGTGTCATAGATCCCACCCCCCTCCTCACCTTATCCCCTTAAAATAAGTGAGACTTGCGTTCTCATTCCTAAAAGTTTAATATTAATAAGCTATTTAGTTTCAGGGTCTTGTACACAGCCTGGCTAATTTGTGTCCCAAATGCTTAAAATCTAATTATGCTCTGGCTTTAAATTCAGAAATCCAGAAATGTGGCACAGGATCTTCTCATCTAATTAAAAAAAATGAAAGATCTAAATGAGCTGTAAAGTAGTAACAGCTGTGGAGACATCAGAAGAGCAGCAACAACAAACTCAGGGTCCAACTTTGAAATCCAAACCGAGAAACGACATCCCAGCTAAAGGCTGCTGAGAAACCGAAGCAGACTATGCAACACAACAGGTTCATACAGCAGATCTTTCGTCTGTCAGTGGCACGTTATCATACGCCGCCACGGTTATGGCATTTTTATTGTTTGAGGGACAGCACATTAGTCTGTTGTCTAATCGTAATAGTCTGCATTAAAAAAACAAAAAACTATCCATGTGTATGTTGGTAAATGGTAGGACCGAGCTTCCCTGGAAGCAGCTTACATTTCTGTAAAGATCGATGAAAAATCCCACTATTGGCCTTAATGAGTTATTAGTCTACAACATTTTGGACACATTGTGATGGCGTGCAACACTGCAATAACATGTCAGTGACCAGACTTCTTTTTTTTCCTACTTTAAATAAAATCTGAGAGAAAAGAAATCCAAAGCGTCAGCAGATTTGGTCTTTTTTTTTCAGGCCGTACACATAAGACGACACTTTCCTTTGTGCATACTGTCTGTCAGTTTATTTTTTATAAATCAGGAAGATATGATTTGTTATGTAACAGCCTGTACAACGCAACATAGAGGAAAACAAACAAAAACGAATTGAAGTGTACAAAGCAGCACTGGGCTGTAAATAACCCATGTAAATAATAGTTTTCACATTTCTGATTGGAAGCCCCCCCCCCCCACACTGCCAAATATCATAGATCTCCCATCAGTCACAACACAGCTGCTCTAAGGAAGTGATTGAACTTCTCTTAACTGCCTTCTTTTAGATTGACTCATCATAAATATGCAACAAAAAAAAACGGAAGGAGAAAAAATAAATCTGGGTTTTATATTGTATGACAGTTTTAGCAAATTGGCCACAAGACTGATGGGAAGCTGCTAACATACAATCAAAGTTGATATTTATGATAAGAAACCCCCTCTTTAAACATGTTTTGACACGTGTAAATCAAATATGGAGTAAAACAACTACAGAGCCCTAGTTATTGACATTCACATGTAAACACCAGCGTAGTGGGATGCAAACAACTCACTGCTGATCTTGTAACTCCTCTTTGTGGGCTGTGGAGGTTCTGTCGGCCGGGTAAACAGTGTCAGACAGGATGGATGAGGGTGGAGGTATGCCAATGGAGTGTAAACGCCGACAGGAAAATGATGATGCACCTTTCTGCTTTAAAAGGTTCGAATTGGCATGCTTGCACAGTTATATGTGCCAACATGTAGCTTAGGTATTTGAATATTAAACTAACTCCTTCTAACAACTTAGCATTGTACATACCGCTGGATTATTCTGTACCAGAAGCCAAAGAGTTTGGAAAGAAAAAACAAACAAACTGCAAAGGTCGTTTGTCGTGAACTACTTTTTGGCCCAAACTACTCCCTGTTGCCTGGCAACCAACTGTTTAACAACTTATTTAATTCGGGCTTAAAAACAAAGAGTTCGTTTACTTTTAACCCTAAAGAAAAAGACAACATATAGTTATTCATCGCCGAATACTTAACTTTGTTAAGTATTGACCTGTTTGAAAGCCTTTTTGCTGAGCTAGCCGGCTGCTAACGCTAACACGGGGGTCACTGCACGTGATCCCTGCAGGTGGTCTCCATGGAAACAGGGAGCCCATTGGCGTAAACGGGAAGTTAACACTGATTCTTGTTCTCGTAAACGTGTCAGCTACAATTAACACTTAAAACGAGGCTGGGGAGTCCCTTTTATTTGGCTTTTCGTATTTTATATGGAGTTTCTTGTAACTTTTCTGCGACCAGCCGGCTTCGCTTTGGCTTCTTATTTAATGTAAGTGTTAAAATCTCATTTTCAAAATCTTAGCAGGGCTTATTACGGGCCTAAAATGTGAGCTTAGCCGAATACTAGTTATGCTTTTTGTTACTGAGTATTTTCTGTGATATATCCTTTCTAGCTGTGAGGCTGGAGCTAAATTCATCAGCCAATATCTGGCACTAGTTAAAATTCCCAAAACGTACAGTAGCTTTTTCAGAAATTCATTTTTACTCCAGTTTCCCCATCAGTTTGAAGTTTGTGTGGGTCCGTTTGAGGCGTCAGGTGAAACTGAAACTAAACATCAAGCAAACAAACCCAGACTGCCAAAGTGGAGACAACATGTGCGTGTGTAAACATCTCTTTCCCTCCAGTTTTGAAAGTCTCCCCCTAAAAGAAGTCACAATCATATGACTGTCTTGGGTTCATTCTTGGGATTCAAGTGTCTATATATATATATATTTATATTTTTACATATTTAATTTAAACATTGTCCCTCTTTCTTTTTGTATATAAATTTAGTTAAAAGCCCACATTTCAGTCATTTTAGGTGACTTCTCTTAATGTGTAGAAGAAAGACAAAGTTTTCCCAAAATGAAAACACTGACTGACCAGAACAGAGGTGGAAAGAGTTAAAGTAAGTGCTGAAGAGGAGAAAGAAGCTGAATTAAATCAATCTAAAGTGAAATGATGAAGGGAGGGGACTTCAGCAAAAATGAACAAACGTGTTGTGTCGATGAGAAGTTTAAAAATCGCCCACGAGTGTCCAAAACATAAAGTGCAGGCAGTGTCTGTTATCTGAAACTGCTGTCGCCCCCGGCCGTTTGGAGTCCGAGAGCAAACAACCAAAAACTAAATCCAAAAAAATGCTGAATTGTCATCCATCCACAGAAGGACCAGCTGGATTCCAGAGGAGTCTCTTGTTCAAGGCAGGGCTTGGATTTGGTAGTCAGTTTAAAGTACGAGGAGTGCTACATGGGCCCTCCACAATTCCACCCAAATGCCACGTGCGTTGCTTCCTTCACTCGATCCGAATGAGTAGTCCGTACAGGAGCGTGCCACCTTGCTCCTTAGTGATCCACTCGATCTCCGAGTTGCTGAAGCGAGGATCCAGGGGCTCACTTTGGCCAAGCGTCTGAGGTCCCACCTTGTAAGAACCTGGACGCACACACACCTGAAATCCCACCTGAGCCTGGTGACAGCGGTGAGAACGGGGGTCCCGAAATCTGCACGAATAGATGGCAGAGTGTTATAAAAATTCTTCTTCTAGCCTCATTTCCTCAAAGCACTCAGGTGGACTATCTGCGAGGGAATAAGAGAGGACACAGAGTGGACTTACTGCACTTTGGGAGCGAAAATCTCCAAACCAGAGTAGCGCATGGTGGGTGACAACCGCACTCTTGGAACCTCCCTGCCGGGGGCGCTGTTCTCCTCCGGCTCACTGTAACCGTTAGGCCCTTCCGCCTTCACAGGAGACACAGAGAAGATGGACGACATCCCTGCAACAAGGGAAAGAAAAAGATTTAGGCGAGAACTTCAAAAGAACAGGCCAGTGACACATAAAAAAATAAAAATAAATAAAGAACAACAACCTATGGTCAAACGCTGCTGAGTTCTGCTCCTACCTGGCAGCAGCTGGCTGTGGTCCAGTGTGCGCCGCAGGGCCCCTACGCTGGTGCCGTGGTACGCAATGTGCCACTTCTTCAGTGCATTAGAAACCTCACAGTGGGACTTGATCCTGCCAAGCACCCAGTGGAACAATATGGAGAGATTCAAAAGGGATTTAGCAGCATATGATCCCACAGAATCTGAATTCAAAGGACAGAATCTTTTATACCCCGACGTGCCGTATTCACAGTAGAAACAATTTCTGGTTGCTTTAATTATATACAAAGAGATCAATGAAGCCTCAATTTAGATTTGGTTGACTATCACTATTATGGTCTTATAAAACAAGAAGTCAAAAGTAAGTGGCAATCAAAAGGTTATTTGTATCATAGACATCTAAAAAAAAAAACATTGCTGTTTTTTGTAAAACCTATCATTTTGCTCTCCTGTCATCCGACTCAGCTTTTTGAAATGCATCTGCATTCAAGCAACGAGGGGCACGGGGAACAGAAGGCTCTGTTCCCTTATTTGCTGGTTCCCACACTAAAATCAATGTAGGAACATTTCTAAAACATGTCTTCCTTTTTGCCGTCCACATTATGTAACTACCTGGAACCCTCTTAGCCTTTAAATGTAACAACACAGTGACCAAGAATGACAAAGCTGATACACTGGACACTTCTTTAGGTTTAACACACAAAAAGAAAAAGCTCTCTCTGCATGTATCATCTCCAAAGAAGCAGGATGAGAGTGCAACACTGCGCATCTCTCCGGTTACAGAGTGAAAAGCCATCCAGCTGGCTGCTGACAGCTTCTATTCAGCAGAGGGCCGAGAGGCCGGCGTCTCACCTGAGAGCAAAGCGGCACCACCCAAAAGGGAGGGCGTAGTCCCTGGGTGGCTCTCCTCTCTTGTAATACGCCTCGTCACCCCGGAGCTTGTGGCAGGACTCGCAGTAGCACAGATTGTACTTTGCGTCTTCGTTGAAGTAGCCATCTTAACGGAAAAAGACGTATGAATTCACGGTCGGGATGAGAAGACGTCATCACGGGCAGAGGAGCCCACAGAGGCGACGCGACCCACCTGGTAATGTGAGCAGGTCCTTGAAGCGGGAGCACAGTGCCTGGTACTCGCAGGTCTTGTTGGGGTTGACCTCCGGCGGGGGCGTCCAGCACACGCTCTCTTTGATTCCTGCATGTATGACCAGAAAGTGTCAGAGCTCCGAAGGCTACAGCAACACAATCGGAACAATGATATATATATTTTTTTTTTACCATCGACCATGTCCGCCTTTTCCATGTCCCCCTGACAGCGGCTCTCTCCACTCTCAGCACCCACAGCTGGCACATTGTTTGTAACTATGGTAACCTGTTATGTGCAAGAGCAGAATTCACAGGTATATTCAATACAAGTCGAAGAGTATAAAGTCTAAATTAGATTGAAACGGTTTGTTTTTGTTCCGCTGACTAGTTTGATGTTTTTAAAGTTTAAATCTAAATTTCGACTTAAACTTCAGCCGCACTGACTTGTTCACACTGGCCGTATAGGTCAATGAACGGGTAGCAGGGTGATGGGATGTCCTGGGCCGCCGCGCCCTGGTCCATCCCGTTGACGTACAGATGGAGGCAACTGTTGGCGTCCACCAGCAGACCCAACACGGTCCCCTCGGGGCAGGTATCCAGGTTAGGACCATAGTTCTCACATATCTGGAAGTAATGCAGAAAGACGGGTTCAAAGGGAGAAGATTACAGAGCAGAGCGGGTCGATATGTCAGCGAGGAGACGGTTTGTCTGCCATGTAAGACAGGAATCAATAAGCCTCCGACGTGTTTGACGGGGGAGCGGACCTTTAATGAATTGTGAAAGACGGAGTCTCGCTGCAGAAGCCAGGCCGAGCGTTTCAGACAGCACGCCGTTGAGGGGAAGTTGAGCCTGTCGGGGGAGTGGCCGATCACCCCTAAAGACAACGAAGACGTCCATGATGGGTTCAGCCGGTCGATCTGAAACTAACGCAAAAAAAACAAACGAAAGTTACTGATTTTGTATGAAAAACAAACGGGCTGAATGCCAAACGGGCCGGCGTGGCGCAGCCACCTGGAACAGCTGCTGACGGGCCAGAGGCAGGGCGGTCACCAGCAGGCCCTGGTTGTAGCTGGACACCCGGGCGGCCGTCAGGTTCTGGTTGGACAGCTGGATGTTCTTGCCGTGGTTTTCCAGGAAAGCCATGGCTGTGGGCACCAGCGGACACGGCTCGCTCTCCACCTGGACGCAGCCGGAGGACACACGTTTCTCTCCGAAAGCAATTTCCACGAAACGAAAGGCCCTCACCGGACATTTCCCAGCCCCCTCACCTCTCTGACGGGGGTGCTGTCCTCCTCGCCTTCGCTGCAGCTCTCTGAGGACAGCGAAGGCGCCTTGACGCTCTCCGTGTCCTCCATCAGCGAGGAGCTGACGATGGAGACGGCCGTTATCCGCCCGTACAGGTCCAGCACTGCGTAAACATTCTGCGTGGAGGGAGAAGGAGGCGCGGCTGAGTGGGACCGTTGGGCCTTTTTAAAAAAGTCGGTTTTGTGAAAGCGTGCGCACCTTGGCCACGGCGGTGGCGGCCGGGCCCATGTCCTCTCCGTCTATGAAGATGTGCATGGTGTCGTCGTTGCACCGCTTCACTCCCACACGGTTCCCCACCTGGAAACACACACTCTGACTCACTCTCCTCTCCTTCAGATCATCTGAGCAGCGCTCAGAGACGAAAAAGGCTAAATATCACAGCTTGTGTCGCTTCCAAGTTATTGGAGGAGATCTAATCATAGTAACTTCAAGTTATTTTCCTGTTCGCACAGAAGCTCATTTTAGTGCTTTAGGAAAAGTGACGAAATAATTTAAAATCCTGCATCTGAAAAAGATTTAGTCTTTTTAGTTTAGTTTAAAGATTTAAAGCTGCGTTTCATAGGTCTGGGGACGAGGCTCACCGTCAGCCGGTCCAGCGAGCAGCCGTAGTTCTGGCGCTGCAGAACGCCGTTGCGACGGACCTCGGAGCCACAGAGGAGCCATGTGACCTTGGTGCGGAGCTGCGGGAGGGAGGGGGAGAGGCCGGACAGCGGGCAGGACGGCAGCTCCGGAGGGGCCAGCGTGGTCAGGCCGATGTGCAGCGAGCCACACCACTGCTCGTCCACCTCGTCGATTCTCACCTGCAGGGAGGAGGGAGGGGGAGATCAGTGGAGGAAAGCCAATTCCTCCAGGCTCAAAACACCAAACGTGCGTCAGCTTTAGAACGTTTTCTGCTGAAGTGGTACCTCAAACAGCTCGTCGGCTTTCAGTTCCTTCACGCTGAAGACGATGCCGTGAGCGTAGCCGCCGACCCGCACGGCCTGGCAGCCCTCGCCCAGCAGCACCACGTTCTTCCCGTGTTTCCCGTGGAGCCGGTGGGCGACGCCTGCTACTGCCAACACACAGGAGGAGGAGAGTGTTGCTCTGCTTTTTCGGTCGTCCGCGTTAAATCAGACTAAACGACTCGGCCCTCTTGCGTACCTGGCGAGTGGATGGGGAAGCTCTTCTCTGTGACGTTGCTGGTACAGAGGCTGTTGTCCAGCGGGCCTGAGGAGCTGGTGATGGACACCTGGACACACTGACCGTACAGGTCGATCACAGCAAACACCTCTGAAAGAGACAGGCCGACACACACGACTGTTAGGAAGCCATAAGCTGACACACACTCCAGATTAAGACTGACCCTGGTTCATTCTCTACCTGGAGGCAGACCAGAGCAGGCGACGCCTTGGTCCACGCCGTTTATGTAATAGTGAAGGTCGCCGCTGGCTGAGCGCATCATGCCGATCCGTGATCCGGTAGTCAGGGAGTCCAGATCACAGCCGTAATTGTTGCGCATCGTGTTTCCGTCCTGCATGATGGCTGTCCCACTATGGACAAACAGGGCAAGGTGACAGCGCACGCGTTCAATTTGGGGTTTTGATCCATCTTCAGGTAAAAGTTTTCAGCAATTTCAACTGTTAAAAGACATCATTTGAGTCTCTTTGGATTTTGACCCAACCCAGTATGCCAAAAGAAGAAAACAGGCTTTGTGGCTCTAAGTGAAACTGGGACATAATCAAAGCTCAACCTGCAGAAAATTTGCCATAATATCTTCCGAGTCTTCAATACCTTAGCATCCAAGTGTCATAGTCAATATCAGTCATAGTGTTTGGGAACTCGAGCTCCTCTGGCCTGATTGCTGTCACTCCTGAACACACAGGGAGGGGAGGAGAGTGGTGATAACACATGCTCTTTAAGTGAAATCTAAAACGCTGCTGGAGGCAAATGTGAAAGGAGCGAATCAAACTGAACAGTTATGAAAAGACGAGTAGCTGGTTTCCAAGGTGACAAAAGACAAACATCCCACCTGCTTCTATTGAACCTGACCAGCGATCCACCATCTTCTGAATTACAATTTCAAACAGCTCTCCATCCCGAAGGCACCTACAACGTGGAAGCGACAAGTTCAAAGAGGAACAACTGATTCTCTGCCTTTAATAATTTAATAACAACCAACTATAAGACAGGCGGCCTGCCCTCTGGATCTTTGGGTTTATTCACCTTGTAACACCTTTACTAACCAACAGTCACGTGTTTGTGTTGGGTGACGTATTTACACACCTAAATACTTCAATCTATTGGACATGTGTGGTTCAACCAATCTGGATGGCGGTCAAAGCTCCTCTCAACTTAAACCACGGACGGCTGAACCAGTGAGAAGCTGTGTGTCCGAATGACGCTCTGCAATAACCTGAGCAGTGGACTCAAGCAGGGGAACCAACCTCAAATTTCTGATAAAGGGGAAATCTACTTATTCTGTGTTATGGAAAAGCCATGAGGGAACTAAGGTTCAATCTGAAGCCACTTCAATGCTCTTAAGTTGGCAGGACACCACAGTCAGTGTGCCAGTGTCGTGTTTGGCCGGACAACCGCTGGCTTAAGGATCACAGACTCACCTGTTGGAAATGACGATGGCGTCGTTGAACTCGCTGCGGCAGTTCTGGCGCAGGGCGGTGCGCCCCCCGTTGGTGATGACGGCGTTGGTGCCGTGCAGCTGGTGGAAGCGCAGGTCGCTCGTTGTGGTGGCCCCGGCTACTGAGCATGGGCTCCCGGGGGACATGGCTGTGGGGCCCTCTGAGCTGTCCTCTGGAAGAGGGGGGAGGTCCACTACGGGAGGGACAAGAACAGGAAAACTTGCTTTTTTCCCTGGAAACAAGATATCTCGACACGTCGTTGAACGGCTTCCTCTGCTCCGACTCACCCATGTCATCCATGATGGTGGCCTGGGCGGCTTGGCCGTAGAGGTCGACCACGGCGTAAACACTCGGGGGGACGTTCCAGGCTGCCGGACCCTGTGCCACACCGTTCACAAAGAAATGGAGGCTGCCGTCTTCTTTCCGGACGACACCGACCGTGTCCCCGGCCTGCGGGTGGAGGAGAGGGGTTGATGACATGCTAAAAGAGAGAGTGCGAGGGGGCAGACGTTACTGGCAGCTCAGTTTCAGAGAAATTTACTTTGAGCCGGTCCAGGTTGTGCCCGTACTCGTCCAGTATCGTCGTCCCATTGTGCATCACGCCATTCCCGGTCATCATCCACGTCCCTGGAAAACGTTAACGACGCCGATCAGACGCCGCAAGAGTGACAGTCACCCAGATATCAAGTCTGCTTTGAGCCGTTTTACCTGAGCGCAGGTTGGTCATGGTGGAGGGCAGCTGCAGGTAGGCCGGGTTGTGCGTCGTGACGCCTATCTCAATGGAGCCCGCCCACTTGTCGACCATCTTGTCGATGCGAACCTGGAACACCTCGTTGGAACGCAGCGGCCGGCTGCTCAGCACCACGCCGTGGTTGAAGTCATCGGTGGCACTAAAACGCATCGAGGACAACCGGTATAAATGGCCGATCTGTTCCATGGGTCAAAAGCTCCTGTCCGGACCAGCTTCAACCATCAGCATGGAGTTTCTCCTCATTCTTGAGCTGGACCGTGTGACTTTAACCCGACAGGCGGGCGGGAGGCGGACTCACTGTGGCCGCAGCGCCGTCCTGCCGTCGCAGATGATGGCGGCCTTCTGCCCGCAGTTGGGGTGAAAGAGCAGGCGGTCGGGCGCGTCTGCGTCTGGGGTGACGGAGAGCGAGGGGCGGGGCCGGCCCACGTCGGGGGACAGCGCCCTCATGATGGCGTTGTTGCGCCGGAGACGGTCGCTGTGGTTGTGGTTGTGGACTATGGTGACTTTGACGGCCATGCCGTAGAGGTCCACCACGCCGTAGACCACGCCGGGGGTCTGTGCTGCCGCCACGCCTGGGAGGAGAAACCCGGAGCGGTCGGCAGCTCGGTCAGGCGTGCACTGGCTGCTTCGTTCTGCCGGCTGATGTGCTGCTGACTCACCCTGATCGATGCCATTGATATAGAAATGAAGCGCGCCGCTGGCCTTACGCATTAGCCCGATGTGGTCCCCCTCCTAGGTTTGGACGAGAAAGAACGATTAAAAAAAGAAAAAACAGCAACGGGATGATGAAAACAGTCCGAGCTGAAACAAACCTGAAGCTCATCGAGGCTAAATTCACAGTATTCCCTGCGGGTTCCTTTCCCGTTGGTTAATATCCCGCAGCCACTCATCATGATTGTACCTGACGAGGAAGCAGATGGAAGGCCATTTCACGACGGGCGCCTTGTGTCCGGCCCGCCGCTGACAGCCCGGGGCGTGTTCCTGTGCGTTACCTGAGCGCAGATTGGTCATAGTTGCAGGATAGTCCAGGTTGTTGGGGTTGTGCGTGGTGACGCCGATTTCGATGGAGCCCGACCACTTGTCCACCAGCTTGTCGATGCGGATCTGCCGGCGGAGAGGACAGAGGTGAGACCGCGGCTCGCGGGCGGGACAGCCGCGAGCTGTGCGCCTGCAAACACCTCGAACATCTCGTTGTGGCGGAGCGGCCGGTTGGTCATCACCACGCCGTTGTTGAACTCGTCCAGCGGTCTCCGCCGCTCCGCCGTTTTGTTGTTGTTGCTCAGCTTGATCAGCGTGCCGCATTTCTCGTGGAACAGCAGCGCGTCGTTGGTGGTCATCCCGCCGGTGAGGGCTGCGAGCGCCACGCCTCCGTTACCGGCGGGGCTGCTGTTGGCGTTCCCGCCGTCCCCTCCGCCGCCCGTCGTCCCAATGCCGCTGTCGCTGTTGGCCGTGCCTCCTCCGCTGCTGCTCCCTCGCTCGTTTCTGGAAGAGGAGTCGCTGCCCGCGCTCCCTCCTCCTCCCCCTTCGCCGCCGCCGCCGCCGCCTCCCCCGTCCTCCCCGCCGCCCTCGTCCTCGGCGCGGTAGAAGGACACTATTGCGTTGTTGAAGACGTCAAACAGCTGGTGCTCGGTCAGAACTGGGGGGGTGCAGGGACAGAGCGGTTTTTTTAGGCTGAAACACAGAGGCTGACCGGAGGCGGAGGCTCGTCTCACCGGCGTCGGGCTCCAGGTTGTTGGGGAACTTGTCTGGTCTGCTGTGACCGCAGCTGAGCTCAGGCACTGGCAGAGGAAGAGAGTTAGGAACGCAGACGGTGGATAAAAACTATCCCAGAAAAAAAGATGGAAACAACAGGCACGCCTTTAACAGAAAGGGCCCCTACCTTCGTCTCCGTTCATCATTCCATTCATTGCTGCCACATTCATGAGCGCTGCGATCCCCACGTCCTCCCGGTCCCCGCGCACCACCAGCTCCTCTTCCTCCTCCTCCTCGTCCTCCTCCTCGTCCCGCTCTATTGTCTCTCTCTCCCTCTCGGCGGAGGGCGACGGCGGCTCGCAGCTCACCACCGTCACTTGCGTGCACTTGCCGTACAGATCCACCACCGCCCAGAGTTTGGGCGGCAGGCCGCTGGCGGCGGCGCCGCAGTCCTGCCCGTTCACCCACAGGTGCAGCTCGCCGCGGGCGTTCCGCTGGATGCCCACGCGGTCGCCCTCGGCCAGCTGGTCCAGGTCCCGGCCGTACTCCTCCAGGACGGAGCGGCCATCGCGCAGCACCGAGCAGCCCGACACGATCCAGGAGCCGCCCTTAAGGCCTGTGGCGCTGCTGGGGAAGTCCAGCGTGGAGGGGTCCAGCGCCGTCACCCCGATTTCAATGGAGCCGCTCCACGAGTTCACCTGAGGAGTGGAAACAGGTGTGGTTCACATCGTTAAGGAAAACCGCTCAGTTACACACCTAATCTAGTGAGTAAAGTCTAACCCACACCCCCAAAATAACCTTTTTGTGTTTTAGAACTCCCTCTGTTAAGATCATCTCAAATTTGCAAACGCTTACGACCGCATCGACAGGGCATCCGGGAGGAGAAAGTGGACCGAGGAAAGGAAGTTGTGAGGAAGTGGCAGAGCTGTGATGTCAGAGCTAAAAACTGCAGGCAGATCTGAAGTGCGTCTCATTATGTGATCCGCTCGGTTATTTTTATCCCCTCCGTCTGATCACAGAGCGCTGCTTTGAAATTAAAGCGGGGACAGTGTGAACGCAGCGAAATACGGGAAGTTTTTTTTTTAGGAAATCAGTGGACAGAAGCACTCGTCTCACAGCGGCTCAAATTACTGTTAAAGAAAAAGGGACCCACTTATCGTCAGCTTGGTCAACGGCAGTTAGTCCACACATGCTGACGATGCAGTTTTCTTGAATTAGACACCAAAAAAACTTTTTTTGTGGTTGTTAAACAGTTCTTTTTTTTAAAAAAGGTGTCAAATGGTGCTGCTTGTCACAGATCTGATTAGAATGTTTTCTTCTTACCACTATCAACAACTCAAACCTGCACCCCACCACAGTCCCACCGGCTCTCTGGTGCACATCTGGGATGATTAAACCAGCAAACACTGATTGAGGTTGTACGAAAACGTCCACATTTCACCTCAACGATCTCCAGACAAAAATCCCTCCCTGTGTCACTTTGCACTGAACAAGAACACTGATATCTATTTCTTAAAAAGCTCACCACAGGCATACAGTAATATGCTAGTCATTGATTTTTTGGGGTGTAACTTCTATTTTTACATTTCTGTTTGGGAAAGAAGGCTGCAGAGCAGCGTGTCGTTTTTGTTTGTGCCCAGAAACCCTTTGTCATCCCACTTAGAGGTGATCTTCAGGATCATTCTGCTTTACCTGCTGCTCACCGAGAGAGGAGAGCACATTTTACTATGGACAGCTTTCTCCAGTGTTATTTTTCGAGCATTTCCTGCCCCCTCAGCTATGTAAGTCAGTGTGCTCCGGCAGGCTGGTATCTGGGTTAACACGTTCAGTCGGAGCTCAGCCTGACCGGGTCGCTCCGTGGAGGAGACAGACATCTTCCTCCGCTCCCTCCTTTATGTAACAGCAGCCTGTGGGCGTCTGCCTCCCAGACTCAGCCTCTCCGCTCAGCGCAGCCACACAATGCTGAGCGATCGGCGGGCAGCTTTTAAAAGAATCAAAAATTCATAGCATGTTAAATGTGAAAGTAACTCATGAGACGCAGGGCTACGACCAGACAGGGAAAGGTCAGGACACACAGAGAGCACCAGCCGGGCTCTGGACAGGCCTTCATCACACACATATTGTATCCTTCAACAGCACAATAATGTGGCCTCCGACTTTCAAATTTCGCAGCTTTCTCTTTTCTTGGAAGTATTAAGCGATCAGTGTAACATCATATAATATGTTCATTACGGCTCCAATATGAAAGAAGGTGGATTTTTTTACCAGCTTCGAGGCAAAGTTCAAAATATGTTTCAAGAGCAGCATTTAGGATTTCTTCTACTAGTTACTCTCCAGGTGACTAAAGACAAGCCAAACTACAAATTTACAGAATAATAAAAGAAAAAACTCCAGATTTTTTCTGTTACTATATTAGTGTAGGAAACTTCTGAATAAGGACACTACACCACTCTTTGTTTTGAAGAAATAAACTAGTTAGAAGTCAACTCAAACTATGATTTTAGGACACAAAATCCATGTTACACTGGTTTGATCAGTTTTAATCTTCTGCAGCGCCACTTTTTAGTTGGACTAATTCTCACATTTGGTGTTCCAATTCAAACTTCCTGTGTCGTTATTGGATGCAGCATAAAGGGATTTGCCGTAATGCCAGTGGGTATTCCATGATGGAAAAGTATTGATTGTTTAGGACACAGAGGGAGGCCGTTTATGGAAGCTCTTATCAGCCTGAGAGCGCCATGACGGATGCCTAGTCATTACCATGCAGCCAGAACGAGCCACTGAGCCAGATGTGTAGCTTTTCTGGCCCACGTGAAGCTCAGCTGCCACCTGGTCCACCCCCTGAACAGCCTCTCTGGTAGCCCTGGCAGAGCAAACTGCCATTTAAAGTGCGTGCATAGCCCTGTTGGCGCTGGCACGGGCTCCAGAGATGCCATGTTGTTGTGAAAGCCGTGTAGGGTGAGGCAGAGGCCATTACAGAAGACAAGCTTTTCCAACGCCGATCACAACTTCTGCTTTCCTTCTGCTCCACTTTACAGGAGAAATATGATACATTCACAGCATTGGTATTCAGAATAGTAGTTATGCTCTTCCAAAATCCAAGCAAAGGTTAAACAGGCATGAAATGGGAAAAGTTGTGTGCAAGCCTCTGTCTGAATTCAGAGCGATTCCTCTTTAAAAATTAGGAAAAAATTATAAACTCTGGAGGCAACAAGAACACCAACAACTTAATCTGGCTAGTACATCGCTCATCTCTACACACACTCACATATATATGTATTTATCTCCATACAATTCTATATAATGATATAGATTATAACGGGAAAATTTTAATGAAGCAAGCTCCCATGCTGTCACGTGACAGAGGCACCTGTGATTAATGAGTAGCAGCGTGTTGAGCTTTGAATGCAGCCCAGCTGTGAGGGAATGATTACCGGGCATGGCTGAGGTGGTCCAGCTCAGCCCGAGACACCGGGAGTCACTGACGAGGCAACGGACAGCAGCCGTACCCGAGTTAACACAGCCTCCGAGCCACTTTCCCGGTCTGACACGAGCTCTGCAGCACAGACACTCCGGGAGAGCACCGACGCCTTCAAAACAGAGGCAACCGACCGGAACCCCGGCCCCCCCCACCACCACCACCCCCCTCCGCTTTAGCCCACATCTGTCATGCAGTGACAATACCAACAGCCACTTATTAGCCCCACAGCATGCACAGAGGAACCGGGGCTAGCCCTGACCAGCCCGCCCCCCCCCCCCTTCCTACCCCCCCATTAGCACGGCTAACCAGGGGCGGTTATCGCTAGCTAAATGATCCGTTTAACTTCTCAACATGCCGGCCGTTTTCCCTGGCCGCAGCGCCGGGCAACAGGCTTCCCGGGCAGCGTTACCCCGACACCCGGACAGCCGTGAGGACGGCCGTCTGTCCCCCCGAAACCCGCCTGACAGAAGCAGCCCCCCTCACTGCGGGCGGAGGGGCGCGCAGAGCCCGGCTCGTCCCACCAGCGACGCTCCCGCAGCCGCTCAGGAGAGGGGGGGGGCCGCGGAGGGCCTGCGGTTGTTTACCTTCTTGTCAATGCGCACGGTGAAGACATCCCGGTCCCTCAGCGGCTCCTTGCTGAGCACCAGGCCGTGGTTGAACTCCTGGACCGGCTGGTTGCGCCGGGCGGTGCGGTTGGAGTTGGACAGGCCGATCAGCTTTCCGCTCCGTGGATGTAGCTCCGCCGCCATCTTCAGTGGGCGGCCAGTGTTCACGACACTTGGGCTTTGCGACAGTAACGTTATGTCAGCCGTTATTTGTTTTGGTTATCTGCACTACAGCAGCTACGGCTGTGGAACCGGAAGCGCAACGCCACATGAAAATATGCGACTGATGGAGGGCCGGAATAAAGGCATTTCTTATTTCCAAATTTGTTTTTATCGAAATTCAGTTTGAGGTTGAGTGAATCTGTGGTTTAGATTATATTTCTTTGAAAGTTCTACAAATGATTGAAATGTTATGTGAATTCTGTTGTGTTTTGATACAACTAAAACCTTATAAGACCTGTAAATTATAAACATAATTATTTTTTCTCTAACGTCTTAAATTACTGTTAAAACTCGTAAACCCCAATTTTCTATCTGTTTTGTTAATTTCACATTAGGTTCGGCTGGTATAATGTTTTGATATTTAAAGATTTACATTCTTGATGATCTGATTGAGCTTGCATAGCAAACCTCTTGAGCTCTGTATATTTTCATATTCATATCTTACGGTCAGAATTAGTTTTTTGTCAAAACACCCTTTGTTAGGTATACTGACTTGTCAATAAGTGTTCATGATAGATACTAAAAGACTATGAAAGAAAATGGTAACAAAAACAAGTGGGAGTAGTCCTTAACATTGTATTTGACTGTAACTAAAACCAAGTAACTCATCGTTTTCCAGAGGGCATTAATTATTCTATTGTAATATGGCTTATGACCAAAGGATATGGAATAACAATATATTATATATATACACGTGTATCATATATTGATTTTATTTTAAATTCAGTCTTACATTTTGACATTTTTCTGAAGTACACTTCTTCTGTTTCAGTTAGATAAATATGACTTCTTAAAGTTTAGAACATATTTATTTCTTTATCTGTATTTTCTATCCTTTTTGTCAGAGGACACTTGGGAATGATGTTAACAAAGCGTCCAAGTGGGGTTCATTGACAGCTTTTTTTTGGTAGTAAAGTTAGTTTTCTGGTAAACTTAGTTTTTGTTAGCCTTTTTCTGACCCTGAACTGAAGAAAAATTTATAAAAACTGAATGATAGATGACATCTGCTACAACAGTATCTGTAATGATCCACTAGAGGGCACAACCGACTCATTCCAGCTCTGCTCTAAACTCAGTAGAAAAACCCCTCAAAGCATCTTTACCCTTAAAATGTCTTAAATACAACAGCAAGGCGATTATTGATCAAAAGCTTCAGAAGAAAAATCAGATTTTATGCATTGTTTTATGTCAAATCTTTATTAGAACCAATGTCACAGATATAATCGTGTCTGAGGTCACATTCTGTTACAGCTGGGACACAGAGCAGATATCCTCTTAAAAATCAATATCAGTGTCAAACTCTGTCAAAGGAACCAACTCAGTGAATGATTGTGATTTGTACATTTTGGAATAATTGACTGACTACAAACATCCGGTCCCCACAGAGGGCGCCTGCTTTAGTGGTCTATACTGGGCAACTGTGGGAGGAGATTGACTCGTGTTTGATGGCTAAATCCAGATCCACATCCTTCCCTTGGACTTGGATTTTATCCAGACAGCCTGTCAGGTAACGGGAGCCGACGTTGCCCTCGTCTTCACCTGAGAAATGGAGCAGAAGAAAGCTCTCGTGAAGGCGGGTTGCACAACCCTGAGCGGCTTGTCTGATGCGTTTTCCTCTGGTTTCAATTTCACCACGTCTCATCCTTTTTCACTGGGAGTTATTTTGCCCTATCTCGCCTTTCCTCTCTGTACAATAACATAAAATGTTAACACTTATGAATATGTGCAGCCTCACCGAGAAGACCTCCAAAAGCAAGCCGACCCTTATCCCAAATCGTCTTATAACTGGGGTGGCTCGTGGGACTAACTGGAAACGTGGAGGTTTTTGATTCATCTTCATCTGGAAGCACTTTCAGTAAATCTTCCAGAAAGGTAATCAGCAGTCTCTTAAAAGAGCTTTTTATGACGATTCTTTCTTCCCCAAATTTGATTTCGACCTCCTGGAAACAGAAAAAGAGACAGGCATTGGCATCTGACATGTTTCTGTTTGCATGTGTGATCGGATGCTGCAGTGTGAAGAACAAGCCGCAAGGCATGCTGGGAAAGTACTTTGACCTTATTTCCGGCTTGAATGCATACCTTTGTGACATTTTTGGCTACTGCAGTAAACATCGGCTCCTCCTGAGGAGCCTTGATGCTCAAAATGGTTCCATCCACCTGGCTGAAATCACCTAACAATTCAATCCTGAATCCATGTTCCTTCTTAAACGGGAAAACTGAAAAATGCGCACACAGACAGATGTCGCATTATAACGCAACCATGAGGGATGCTTGCAAAAACACACAAATCCGGACTCCTGGAGGGCATGTCGTTACATAATGGAGTGCTAACGCTCGCCTGTATCTTGTATGACTTAGCGCCGTGTTCCCACCTGAGGTGTTAAAAATAGCAAATCCATTGCCGGGGAAATAGCTGCCAGGGCGAACGTTGCGATAGCAGGGCCACAGGTCATCCATGTCCCCCTCCCAGGGCATGCTGAGGTTCAGCCAGAGGCCTCCCCGCACGCAGCCGTCCATCTTCGGGTTAAACTGGGACAGAAGACGCAGACAAAACAAAACTGATACAGAACTGAGCGAGAACTGAGGATATTATTACAATCATTGTTAAAATGATTATTATTATCAAAGTTGATGTTCTGGAAATGTAGAAAAAGCCGAAGGAAATTGAATGATACTAATCAGGAGGGAACAAAAACATCTTAAAGTGTGTGTGAAGGTGGACATGACACCTTAACAATCAGCTTTTCGGTGCCGATCAGGATCCCTCCGAGAGCCAGTCGAAGTGGACTGGAGAGGTCCTCCTCCTCCTCAGTGTACGGCGTGCCCACCACCAGCGCAGGTGACCGGTCCACCTCCAGGATGACAAAGTTGCCCTCGTTGCTCACTTCCAGCTTGTAGGCACCATGAAAAGAAGACACACACACACACGTAAATCCACGTCCGGGAGAACGGGGTCTCTCTCTCGTCCTGTGCGCTCACCGTGTGCCACCCCCCGTCGTTGAGCTTGGGCCCACCCGCCACGCTGACGGACACGTTCTCTCTCGTGATCTGCATGAGAGGAACGCCGTCCTTCAGGGACAAGACAAACCAGTCCTCTCCATCTTTGGTGTCTCCGTAGAAAATGACACCCTCGGGGTCATACGTCCGCAGGTGAAAGGACGACTTGATGCTTGGGAAAAAGGAACCAAAACACAAAGGCAGCGTTTAGCCGGAGTGTGACGGTCTGTGGAGGGCTGCTCATCTGCCTGATCTATGTGCTTTTAAAATGTCCGCAGTGGCGGGAACTGTAAATTCTTAGCATCCTGAATTTCCAAAACAAGCTGGTGTTTACTTGCTGATCCTCGTGAGGTTGACCTCCGTGTAGATCAGCGGGCTCCAGATGTCTCTGTCCTGGCCCAGGAAGATGGTAGAACCCCCCGATACGATTTTCTTGATGACACAAACACAAAAAGGATGCTCATTAAACCCTTTATGATGCGCCAGCACATTCACTGAACGGCTCCTTTGTGTTTGGCAGTCGGGGGAACTTGATTGGTCGGCGGTTAAAACCACATTGATCCAAGCTAAAGCATAATTACAGCGTAAAAAAGGATAGCATGGTAAAAATCTTAAGCCTTAATGAAGTGTTAAATCAATGCCGATGCCGTTGGCGCGTGGTAAATATACATATGCTGGGGATTAATTGGGAAGAAAAATACTTCGGTGAGGACAGAACAGCTGGTGTTGTGGGGCTGATTTGTGCTCCGACTGAGCAAAGTCCTAAGTCTAAACAAATGACGGGAGCCCCTTTTCAGCTGGCATTTAATTTGGCTACAGTATAAGCTGGTTAATTATTTTTTGGGTGCTCAGGCCGGGCTGCAAAAACCCAGGCGGAAAAACGCTCTCGTCCAGGAAAACGCAGCATTAAAAGCTTCTCTTTCCAGCTTTCAACTGGAACGTGCACGTTAAAACGTGGATACGGGCTATTTCAGAGCATTGTTTTGTTTTGTTTTTAAATGTTCTCACCCTGCCCCGCAATTTCCTCTGGCCCTCGGCGAGCAGCCCCAGTTGTGCGAGGCTCACGGCGAAGAGCAGGCCACCGGCCACCGTCGTCCAGAAAAACGCCGTCATCCTTCAAGCTCTGTCGCCCGCCCAGGCCTCAGCGTGCGCTCCCCACAGCCCCCCGGGTGCTTTATACACGCCTCGCTTTTCCCTGAGTGGGTGGGCAGCGTCGGCGTGTTTGCTCCCGTCCTGGGGTCCAGAGGGCGAACGGAGCTTGGCCGGCGCGGATTATCGATCCCCCGGGAGGAAGCGCCACGACGGCTGTGACTAATGGATGTCGGTGAACATGCGGGAGGATGGAGCAGACACACACACACACACACACACACACACACACAGAAAGAACCAAAGCGTGGGCTCAACGGCACACCGACGTGTTAGTTAGTGTCTACATTTTCTTGACAACTTTATGGTTATGAAACAAAGGGGTTAGGGGGATTCATTGACGCGGGGCCTTTAAAACTAACCGGCTAAAGCGAGGGCTATCGGTGTCCTGTCCTCATGATGATTCATGTGCCGGGTCAGCGACCTTAGCCAGACCACTGATGTGTGTGTTTACCCGTGACACAGGAACCTCGATTCACCCCCGCTGGCTGTGACTCAGTGGGCGCGCTGTGGCGTCGGAGGAGGAGGGAAGAATCGAGGCCTGTGCTCCACCGAGTCACAAAGCGCTGTTTTTCTCCTCAGCTGGCCGCATTCCCCTGATACGATCTCCTTCCAGGAAGGCTGTGAAGTCTGGGAAGAGCCGGGGAAAAGAGTAGCACACACACACACACACACACACAGACAGACACACACAAACGCACAGAAAGAGGCTCTGAACAATCTGTTAATCAGTTGTTGAGGATTAGCAGTTAATCTGAAATGTCAAATCAAACGGGAACGGAATTTTCGCTCTCACCCCGGAGCGCCGCCTCGACGGGCCGCACATTCCCAGATTTCCCGTCGACGGCGGTCACAGTAGGTGACGAAACAGGTGGGAACGAGACAATTACCGATGGCCGCTGTCCACCCGTGTCGCTGTCCTGTTTGTTTTGGCCTGCTGGGACACTTATATAGTACCGTCATCACTGATTTTTATTAGTAACATCTGTGCACAGTTACAACATCTGCAGCCCCCCAAAAAAGAGAGAAAAAGATCCACACATTATTTTCGCTTAAAATCTAAATGACTATCAGCACCAGGGACACACAGCTTGTTTTTCATTTGAACATTGGCCGATAGTGGCTTTGAGAGTCTTATTCATATTTAATGATTAAGGTGAATCATTAATCTCTGACACAATCTTGTATCCAAAGATAAGTGAGTCACCAAACTGTGTGTTCCCTGATAAAACCACAGAGTGTCACTAGTGGGGAAAATGCTCCAGTTGTGGTGGAGGTCCGCTCTAATTCTGCCAAACGCGCACGCTAATCTGCCTCAGGTTTGTAAGTCACGAGGAATGACCAGTTTCCTGTGAATTCTGACGATAGATATTCCCGTTTTTGGTTAATAATAAATAAAACATATACAGTAGTGATCCCCAAAGAAGTTTAAATAAAAGACATTACCATCAGTTACAAAACAGAATGAAAACACAGTGAAAACAGTGTTTTGAAAATGTTTCAAACCATTAATTTAATTTCATATTGTTATATATTACTTTTATAGAAAAACACATCTAAAGTTAAATCTGAAAATGTTGCTGAAACTTATTTTAACCCACAGGACATTTTTTAAAAGTTGGGAAAAATATAACAAATGCTAAAAAAAGTCTTGTGATGCTTAAACACACTCAACATCCACGAACCAGTCAAGGTGTCCATAAAAAAAGAATTAACAAGGCAAATAAGTGAGATTAAAAACAGCCTCCCAGAGAGCGATGAAGCAGGAGTCCATCACCCCGAGAACAGCTGCTTAAAACACCTAAGGGTGTCATTTTGGGGTAAAACGGCACGTAATTTGGGGCTCTCATCAAGTTCTGTTAACAGGGCTGAAGCTCTCTGTGGCCCGGGATCCCATCCTGGTCTGTGACCTTTGCAGCAAATTACTCCCCCCCCCCTCTCCCGTTCTACCCACTCTTCCGTCTTGCCATTTGAAAACAAAGGCCAGCATTGCCTGAAAAAAAACTCTTACAGGAAAAAGATTCAGATGAATCGCTGCATAAATGACAAGGCCGAAAACCCAAAACAAATGGAAGCGATCTGGAGGCCTCCAGGCCGTAAACAACACGCTCAGGGCTCAAAAGTAAACATCTGTGATGATACATCCTGATGTGAGGGCAATTTGCATCTTTAATCCTGACTTATTTCTGCCAATTATTTTTTCCTAGAAGGCTCCTGTTTGTATTTTTGCAAAAAAAAAAAACAACAGCAAAAAAACATCACAATCACAGTTCAACATCTGTAGAAAAAATAAATATCCAGATGTCACTAAACTGGAGGATTCCTGCTTCCCGAGTTACGACACAGAAGTAAACCTGTATTAAGACACCGAGCGCAAACCGAGCAGATCAAATGTTGTCTCTGTCCTCCTTTCTGCGACTCAAATATTTAAACGGCTTGCGAAAAGCTCCGAGCCCGAACCGTTAGGTGGAAGGCAGCACACGAGCCCACTGGAGGTTAAAACGGAAACAGTTTCTGGTTGAAACAGCGACTTCGTTTGCATTAACAATTTCAGCTCAGCGCGTGAAAATGAGTCAACATAGGAAGAATTTGGCGGGGGGGAAAAAAAAAAGAGTAAGGCTGATTTTATTGGGTCATCAGGTTAATACTTTATTTTGTTTGATTGCAGCAAAGAGAAAGAAGGAGACAGAAACGAGGGGAGGGACAGACGAGAAGAATGTTGGAAAAGGAGACTACAGACTTTGGGAGAGCTGTGGCTACAAGCCTTTGTATCAAATCTAAAGACAAAGTCATCAGGCAACATTAAAACATCTTTTAAAAATAACATGAACATATTCTGTGGGCTCTATATGGCACAGTATTACCCTAGACATGTACACGATACCAAAACAGTTTAGCCACACTCCTACGTCTATGAAGAGCTCCATAGCAAACAAAGCCATGAAAACTATCTCCAAGTCATACTGTCATTTTTCAAGAAAACACTCACTTACTGTTCAAATTTCTTATGCCATAACAAGGCACCTTAACAGTTGAAATCTGGCAGATTCCCATCGTACTATAGATAATTATTTAAATATCAAAGCAGAGGCACATTCATTTGAACTAAACATACAGTAAATAGTTGTATATTACCACCAGATTCCAGTCCAGTCACTACAATACGTGGATTTGCATGCTTTTGGTATGAATGACAACCATGATGGCAAACTATGGCATAAGAAATGGTCCAAAAAACACAAACATGTCCATCTACAGGAATGGCTTGAGATAGTGTATTGGAGACAGCAAGGCTTCTTTTTTTTTTTTTCTTTTTTTTTTTTTTTTCCTTTTTGTTGTTTTTTAAACATTGAAATGAACTCACAGAAAAGTATCCCAAAATAAACAAAACAAACAGGTGGTCCGTATACGGCCAGGGGATACGCCGCTCAGACAGATTTATTTTGGTTTTTTCTTATCCACGCAGTCGCTCGCGCTCACACACGTACCGAGACACGCAAAAAAGGCTTGTAACCACACCTGAGGGGAAGCTTGTGCGCCCCCGCGGTCGGCCACGCTTTGTTTTAAAACTCCTGCCAGAATCATAAAAGGTGCAAAAGTACCGTGACGCGCACGTGCACGCGCCCTGAAACGCGTCCAGAGGAGATGCTCAGGGGGGGGGGGGTTGGGAGGGTGGGACTCTTAAACAGCTCCTAAAGGTGAGAAGCAAAGTCTAATTCTGCGTTTTTTGGACTTAATTCCTCAAATGGTGGTTGATAATAAGCATAAAAAAAACATTAACGGAGATATGGAAGATCGAAAGGCCAGAAAGTGTAAAAGGAAACAAAGAAAAGCTGTGCACACAATGCCAGATTTGCTGAGGATATAAACGGTTAAGAAGCAAGTGGTGCTCATATTTTGTGGATACAGAACCCAAGTTTACTGACATGATCCTAGGACTACTGTTTATATGCATACCAGACGTTATACGGTTCTTTTAACAGGTTATTTGTGTCAAAAACAATAAAAAGGAACTGAAAGCGACTCTACCATTAATGCAGCTGAACTTCATTAACCTCATGACTAAATTTACATTCATATTCTTAAGTTTACTCCCCCCTTTTCACTGAAGCCACTTCCATCTGGTAAGAGGGCTAAACAACAAAAAAAACGACAACATAGTTTAACGAAACAAACATAGAGAGATAACATCACACTGAACAAAAAGACCCCGGCTGGGCATCTGGAGAGTTTGGGCTCAGCCTCTTCCCACCTCTCAGCGAATGACACGGAGCAGGACGGGAAATAGACCCCCCCCAAACTCATCTCCACTGCGTTCTTGTCTTTTCC